CTCTGATTGAGCTGCAATTCAAATAAAAAGGCTGCTCATGAAAGCCCATTTAACTCTGTTCTTTAAATAGTAGGGAGAACAGGTCAAACCAGTCTAGGGAGTGCTCCTGGGGAGGGTTTGCAGCCTACTGACCAGAATACCTGCCGCCAACATTTTTACTTTCACAGGGCTCTTACAATCAAGCCCCTGCTTAATAAGGTCCTTTCTGCTAAGCATGCGTCCTTTACTTTGGAATAGTTTATGCACAGTCCTGTTTTTCTGTATTCCCACAATCATTACAATATTGATAATTGTATTTCACTAGTGGCCTAGGTAATAGGGTATTCACCTGGGGAGGGCAGGGTGGTAAGTTTTAGTCTCCCCCTCCCACAACTCTGGCAGCGGAGGAATAGCCAATGCACAGGCTGCCCCGGCAGAAGTACTAGCATCATTTGTGACCCAGCACCAGCAAAGTTGATTATAACAAACAAAACATCATGCCATCTGTGGACTATCCAGCAAATCTAAACAATGCAGGAGCAAACAGTATTTACATAAATACAGCCATGTTCTTCCACTCGCCGCTCCCCCCCCCCCTTCCAGCTAGCTATCAGGGAAGCATTTATTCAGATTCCATTTACTGCATCTTGATGCTCCATTTCTGGAGAAAGTTATCCAGATCAGAAGAGGATAAAGAGCTATCATGGTAACAGGTGTGGTTTAAGAACCAAGATGAATTGAAAGAATGAATATTTGCAACTCCAGGTTCATCAGAATGCCTCTGATTTGACAGATCACTCTGGTTTACAGCCTGGGTACAGAAATTGCCATGGACAATGATTTTTTCTTGCTGCTGAAATGCTGATTTCATTAGCACTCTGATACCACCTGCCACGTGACAGTTGTGTTATTCTGACTGCAGATTCTGGCTCTGAACATGGATAGCGATAGTACTAATTCCTTCCTCAAGATAGCTCATAATTTCTCCCCTTCCTGAAGGTTCTCTCTTGTGGATTCTTGCAGAACTCCATACACTCACCTCCCTTGCTCACCACACAAGAGAAGCCATTCCATTCCATTATTTGGTCAACATTGCTATTAGTTTTGATGAGGATATTTAGCTGTGAGTCTATTTCATCACAGCGAGGCAGTGTAGTCTCCCTAACTGCCCTATGAGGAGACAACTGTGGAGAAGAGGAAGACATGGGTAAGATCCAATGAAGACAAGATGGAAGCTGAGGGAATGGACAGACATTTCACCTACTTTATCTGTTGGAGAGAGGTAACTAGTGATGTCCCCCAAGGATCCGTCCTGGGACCAATCCTGTTCAACTTATTTATAAATGATCTGGAGAAAGGGGTAAACAGCGAGGTGGCAAAATTTGAAGATGATACTAAAGTGCTCAAGTAGTAATTCTAGTGCCAGCTGTACTTTAAGCATAGGGCATGAGCTTGGAAGTGGCTGAATAAGAAGAGCTGAGAAGAACATGCTAGTGAATGTGAATCTCATACATCCTGATACAGACTCTGCTGACTTCAATGAGAGATGGGTTCTGGTAAGAATGTCTATACATAGACAGTTATTACACACCCATACAGGATTAATTAGTAAGAAAATAAACAGAGACCATGAAATCCTGCTCTAAATCTTCCTTTCCTTAGAGCACCAAAAGTATTCAAAAGGAGAGGGGAAAATGAGACATTCATACAACAAATTCTATATTGGTTCTTCTGCTGCACTCATCACCATACTCTCTGAGCATCTTCCGGTAGCACATTAAGCACAGCACTAACATCTGTCATGTTAAAGCCTCAGTGCTGCTCATTTCTAACCTTCAAAAATAGTCCTCACTGAGCATCTGAAAGTCCTGACAACCTAGTCCTAAACAGCGAAATCCATAGCACCTAGTATTAGGGAGAGCTGCAGTAAAAGCAGGGGGTAGAACAGGAATTGATATGCTTGGGCATAGAGGGGAATTCAGCTTTAACACTATTAATTCTGCACTTGTTTGATGAATTCTGCCACAAATATAGCATTCGTATCCAAAAAGCCTTTATTTAATTCTACTATATAAATATATATTGTCTCTAATTGTGGCAGCTGTAAAAGTATAAATTAATCAAAGGTAAGAATTCAGCCCCAGTTAATTAAAATCCATGGGTCCATGAAAACGACATCATTTAATGAAGTACAGAGTTCAGAAAGAAAGAATAGTTATTTAATAAATTAATAAATCCCAGAACAGGTCAATGCCAGATGATTTTATCAGACAACATATGCATTATGGGCAACCCATAATTCCAGCTGGGGAGGTTAAGGAAGCTCTGATATATACATTAGACATGCAGAAAGTCAAACTGCCTGTGGAAATGCACTCATGTGGTAGCAAGCAACAAATGTTATATTACTATTCACAGCCTCATTACTTGCCATGTGTATTTTTAAAAAGCACATGTACTACATACCTGGAGTTACCATATGAAAGTAAATTGTATTTTAATAAAGCAAATTAAAATAATGGCACAGAAGATCATTCTGTAACATAGCATTTCTATATCTGGTAAACTTTAGTATATTATTTCATGAAGTTTCAAACAGAAAGTGGTACATTTTTTTTTCAAACTGTCAATATTGCATTTTGGGTGTTTTTAATACTCTCTAAATGAACAGCTAAAAAAAACACAAATTAATGTCTTTTTCAGAAATTGCCCTAGCAAAATAAAACAATTCTAAAAATTCTAAAAAAAAAATTACATCTGTGTGCTTGTATATTATTTGCATGGAGATCATTAAAACTGGTGACAATAAGATCTTAGTTCAAATCTAAGATCTTGTTATAATCAAGGGGAAAATACTTTGGTAATTTGCCATACCTTGATTTACTAGCATGGCTATTTTCAGAAGTAACCATTTTGGGTAGGGGACCAAAACTATTGGTTCTAATGGGACTCCTTGATATCCCATATTAATTTGGTTGGGTTGGGGAAATGCATATGTGATTGGATAGTGGTAAACTTTCAGAATGTTTAAGCTTTCAGAACATGGGAGTCTGAGAGTAGGTATGTCCCTATCAAAAATTCTTCATGCCCCCTCCCCAAAATAAAGTGAGATTCCAGATTTTTCAGCACCATGCATCTGTGCTGTCTCACAAATGCTTTATATGTTTGAAAAGCCTAAAACTTTCGCTTTCACCAGTGGAAGCAATTTATTTTTAGTGGCCAGCCCTGTACAATCATCGGGCATTCTAGCTTCACATTTTAAAATGTTAATTAAAATTCAAATAAGGACCCAAACTACTCCCTACTATGCAATTTTTTAAAGAAATTTGATCTGGGCTATGAAACAGTCTTACTCCGAAGTGGCAAAAATATGCATGGGGGGAGGACCATTTAAGAGCTTCAGTGGCTGATTGAATGGGAAGTGGTTTCCAGAGGGTATAGAGATCTTTCATAAGTCCTTCTGTAAGCTAGTGAGGCTCTGGGAGGGGCTCCTCCCCCTCTTGGTCAGTGTGTGGCCAATCCTCCCCGATACATCTTCCAATGAGAAAATTCTAATGTGACGTCCTGGAGCCATTAGCTTCTGTAGGGTCAGGATTTCACCCTTCCTTGCTGTGATATCAGCCTTACTAAATTCTAATTATCCATTCACTTGGGGCAGAAAGAAATATTATGAGTAATTGCATTGTCTTTTACTAGCATGGTTGTGGATGATAAATGAGCAAGTTTTGCATGACAATTTTGCAATGCTAGGTTAACTGGACATACATGTTTGGAATCTGTTAGCATCCCAGTTTCCTGCATCCAATTCCAGAAGTCTGGATCCAAAAGTCTGCATCCAATTCCAGACTTTCCTCAAATCCTTGGTTCAAAATCATTTGATGTCAACACTAATACTAGTGGGAGGGAGAGCAAATGTCTACCTAAGTCTAATTGTGTACAGGAATATTGTGAATATTTGGGATCAGATAAATATATTAAAAGCTGAAGAATTTAAAAAAAACTAAAATTAAGCAGAACATTCAGACACCCAAGTTGTCTTGCTGTTTGAAAAGTGTTGAAATCACAGATCAACAGTTTAGCACATCAACTATACATATCCGCTCCATACCCTTTGGGTCACCAATTTATCTAACAGAAATAACTCTCATAAGGGTTCTGCCTGAGTCAACCTTTGTCCTGTGATGCAGTTTTATCTATTTAATATCTGGACAACAAACGGAAGGAAACCAAACTCAGCTCAACATCAAAATGTTCATTTATCTTCAGATATGTTGATTCTTGTGAATCTGGCCATAGCTCCTGCATTGTGCCGGGGCAGGGCTTCCTTCTGGAATCACCTCTCTGGTGCACTTTCATAATCTGATTTCAAATGAGCTTTGAAACACTCCTCTCAGTCTAGACTACAGAGTTTTGTTGGAAAAATGACTGCAGGCACGTTCTTTTGACAGTAAATTGAAAGGAAAGAGGGCTTTTTGTGCGATTGGCAATCCTCGTTCTACGAGGAAGAAGCCTTTTTGAGAAAGAGCTTTTTCGCAAAAAGGCATGTGTGGATGGGGAAGCGGGAATTTTTTTGGGAAGAGGAGGGAAAAGGAAAAAGCACACGTGCCCTGGTGGCCATTCTGTCCATAGCAATCATTGCTTACATGCAAGATGGTGTCCAGCGCATCGTTTTTTCGATGCACTTTTGCAGTGTGGACGCTCTCTTGCACAAGAAGCCTGAGATGTAGCCTAAGCAAACTGCAATGCAAGAGGCAGCAACCAGCCACATTTAAGGGACTTACATTTGATTGCATGTGACCATCTAAACTTTCTTATCTCAAAGGATATTAATATCTGTCGACATCCTTGTCAAGAGACTGGAAAAGCCAAGCACAAATGTTCAGACACCATGAATTAGGCCTTTCAAAATCCATAACATTTTAAATGTATTTGAGGTCCCTGTTATTTGTGTTCTGGGGTCCAAGCTTTTAGCATTCATATTTTCAAGCTTTTCCATGCAACCAAGAATACTAGAAACATACCTTTTTTTTTCTTCAAAGAAAGCTGAAATTCTCAGATGACGACTGGATTCCAGCAGCTGAGCATGCCAATCTGCCTGTCTTCAGTGACTAGCTGTCAACGAGCCGTGTTTTATACACAGAACCTGTTGCAGAGATATAGATGTACATTTTATAGCACACTGTGAATTAATATAGAAGCACGATATTGACTCCTTTGTATGTTAGCTTTTAATTGGTCAGATCGTGTACTATCTGGGAATATTTGTTAAAAGAAGAATGGCTCCTTCAGTGTATAAAGAAATTGCCAACATCTTTCTCTATTCCATAAACTAAAGCTTTGCTATTTTTCAGACTTGCTCCCTGCAGTGAAATGGCACAGAGATGACAACATTCAATTACATTCAGAATTAATGTACCATGAAAGCACAGCCTTCCAGAGAAGGCTGAGTGAAATCGAACAGTAGGATTGCTGGGTATTTTCACCATATTTTACTGCAAATGATCTCTCATTTTTCCTTCCAGGGAACGGTCCAGGTTGGGCGGCAGGCGACAAGCAACAGCCTCACAAAACAAGTGACAGCCTTGGAATCTTTAATATAAGAACTAGAGCTGGATTAATAATATTCAATAATGTATTTGATACATTTCCAACTATCATTGTCAAATAAATTACTTCTGAATACATTTTCATTACTCAACCAACTCTTTAGATTGCTCAATAATATTCAGATTCATTATTCGTGAAATTTTTCCACCACATTTCAAATGCATTTTTAAACAACATTTTACACAATCTGACCAGTTCTACTAATAATTCAGCAAAATTTCTCTAAAACTGTGGGTTGGAACCCCAAAGTGGGTCACAAGCCCATTTTAATGGGGTCACCAGGGCTGGCATTACACTTGCTGGGGGCCAGGGCTCAACACAAAGTCTGAGTCCCGCCACCTGGAACCAGAATTATTTTGGTGTCAACACTAGCACGAGTGAGAGTGAAAATGTCTATCTAGGTCTAATTGTGTACAGGAATATTGTGAATATTTCTGTTTAGATGAATAGATTAAAAGCTGGGAATTAAATAAAAATATGTAAAATGAAGCAGAACACTCAGTAAGCCCACACACCACCACCGTGGATGAAGCAAAAGCCCGAAAGCTTCAGCTGTAGGTGGTGGCATTCAGGGTACCGCCCCACCCCAGGATGGTGGCGCTTGGGCTTTTCCCCTACCACCAACATTCCCCACCAAACAGGGTTTGGACATGCTCAGATGTTGGTCCCCCCCATCCTTTGGGGGTCATGTAGTAATGTTTGTTGTCAGAAGGGGGTTGCAGCGCAATGACATTTGAGAACCCCCAATTTAACCCATGTGCATATGAAGATCTTCAAGTGTGGCTAGTGACAATAGATGCCTCAAGTTTTACAAGAGGCTACCCAAACTGGAGGTTTTCAGGATGTGTGGGGGCCCATTTGCATCATTTATAAATTCATGGCCATGCAGGACTTCACAGTTGTCTCTACGCAGCACACTAAGGAAATCACTAAGACACAAGGGGTCAAACAACTCTCCTTGCATCACAAGCACAAGCCTTACCACTGGAGCTAAGAGAGAATCTGTTGATTAGCAGTACAGAGTCTCTGACACGTCGTTGAACAAATGCTGAGTCCCTCACATAGAAAAGGCTGCCTGGGTCATTATGTTACTCCTGCTGCACACATCTTTCAGAGGTTTCTCCTCTCCATAAGGCAAAGCGCCTGAGGTTCTGGGGAATGCTAGAAATATACATGGCCCTCCAGACTTTCTTCTTAGCTCCTTCCTTGTCTGCAGGACTCTTGAGACTTTGGGGAGAATATACACGGCCCACCAGACTTTCTTCTTAGCACCTTCCTTGTCTGCAGGACTCTTGAGACTTTGGGGAATGGATAATGACTCTATTCACTTCCACAAACATCTAGATATCACAGCTTTAGTTTGGGAGGAAAAAAATGTTCCACATAGTCTTACTGAAGTCTACTTGCCACCATATGTAATTTTGTGCCCTAGGCAAAAAGAAAATTAGGGTTTACTATGGGGAACAGAAGAGACTCAAAGTGAATGATCTCTGATGAAGATTTTCAAGGAAAAGTTTGTTCCTCTCCTAAAAATTACAATGAGGCAAGGTAATTTGAAATTCAGTGTGGTGAATCAGAGGATAGGTTAAAATAATTGAAAAGGAGCTTAAATTTTGTTGTTAATTGCATGCTGCAAGGAGACATCCCATTTTGCTGCTTTGCAATGAATCGGTGAAGGGAGACCTAATGGTTACTATCAATCAACATTACGAGTATTTAATAAAAAGTCTTCATAATAAAACGGTTGATGAGTTGAGACGGATTGTTTGCATTAACCATTTCCTCTTCACACAGTAAAAACATAGTGCCTTAGGAAACACCTGACAGTCTTCTATCCCTTCAAAATTGCCTTTTCCCTTCAAGCAATTAACTACCTCAGCATAAGAAAAATGCAGATGCCAAAAGTTTAAAAGAAAAATGTTCTTTTCTTGAACGTTTCATTCTGGTACAAGAGGGAAGTTTGGATTGGAAGATTATTATTATGTTTTTTAACTGGATTCCTGCAAGGGAATGTGGAAAAAAAGGAAAACTTCCCTAACTAAAAGCTGAACTAAGGAATTTTCTTCAGCCGAGTAACTTGTGGTTGAGCATTTGCTCTTAGTTCATTTAAGTAAAACTAGTGAACAGGAAAGCTTAATTCCTGTAAAAGCAATTTGGCAAATGGGTTTATCCCCAGGTTAAAAGATCTGGTAGAGGGGGAAATGAAAGAACCAATTGATTATTGTCTGATTATATGTTTTCAGATTTAAAATCTAGGCATAAACTGATGTTTGCATCTAGACAGGAAATGTGTTATACAGGTGGATTGATACCAGCAGTACTCATCCGTTAAACCATGGAAGAATTTCCTGAGGAAATGGAGAGTAATGAGAAGCCTTCAAAGAAGTCAGATCCAGTTGTTAGTTGCAATCAGGCTATAAGAGCAGGTTGGCAAAATTAACCATTACACCGTCCACCATTCCACATACATTGTCAAATGCATCAATGGACTATCACTGCTACTGTATAGCATTTGACAATGTATCAATGGACTATCACTGCTACTGTATATAATTATTAGGGGTACAGGCCTTTAAACCGGAAATTTAAGTGTTGCCTCCACATTCGCTGTATCCTCGTCACTCACAGTTGATACTGAGAAGAAATAGCAACTAGTTGATTTGGTAACTTTAAAATAAAGAGTTTTCTTCTTTCATTTATACATATATTTTCCAGTAAGAAAATGGGTATATTGGCTACAATTCCTAGATCTCAAATAAGGCTAACACTCAATATTACTCTTATTCTACAAGTAAATTCTGGAAGAGTAGAAGCTAAAATTTTAGCATCCTGTGCTGTTGTCATCCAAATCTTCCACAGATTTCACCAAAGTCCTCCAACAAAAAGAGGGAAACTGGAAACAAGCAAGCAGAATGGAAGCACAAAAAATACTAGAAATAATTCTGGACATTGGCCTGCATGCAGGTATACCCACCAGCAGCACATTACAAACAAGTTACGCATCACTTCTGATGTATCAGTGTACCACCCTCTGACATACCTAGGTACCACAGATTATACTGTATATGGTAGTTCAATCAAAACATCGCTATCCATTTTGCTGTTAACAGGAATACAGTACACTGACCCAAGCTCAGGGTATCTGGGGAGGGAGAGTGTTAATATCAAGAGATTTTGTAAAGATGTTTTGTGGTACAACCTTTTTAGAATGTGTTTATGTGATTTGTGCCTAGTACCTCTTAAGCATATGTGTTTCTGCAATATCTGCTCTGTTCTTGGCAGATTCCATGAGCAAGGCCTGCCTTTTCCTCACAGCTCAGCAAAGTTTATATTATATTATTGATTTATATTAGCAAAGTTTTGACTAATTTCACCTAGGCCTCAGACCAGGGCTTGTGATACATTGGCTTATATTTCAGGCTCTCTTCTTACTACCTAGGCCAGAAAAATCTAATTTTAGTACTTCGGAAACTGGTTGAAACTATAGTAAGGAACAAAATTGTCAGACACATACACGAACATAATTTGTTGTGGAAGGGTCAACCTGGTTTTTGTGAAGGGAAATCATGCCTCACCAATCTACTAGAATTCTTTGAGGGGTGTCAATAAGCATGTGGACAAGGGGATCTAGTGGAGTTAGTATACTTACATTTTCACAAAGCCTTTGACAAGTTCCCTCACCAAAGGCTCTTAAGAGGGAAGACCCTCTCAATGTATTGGTAACTGGTTAAAAGACAGGAAACAAGGAGTTGGTGGCCAATTTTTAGAATGGAGAGACGTTAACTAGCACTGTCCCCCAGGAGTCTGTACTGGGGACAATCCCACTCAACATATTCATAAATGACCTGGAGAAAGGGGTACTCAGTGAGGTGGCAAAATCTGCAGATGATACAAAACTGACCAAGAAAGTTAAGTTCACAGCAGATTGTGAAGGATCTCACAAAACTTGGTGAGCAGGCAACAAAATAGCAGATGAAATTCACGGTTGATAAATGCAAAGTAACTTATATTGGAAAACATAATCCCAACTATACAAATAAAATGATGGGGTCTAAATTAGCTGTTGCCACTCAGTCAAGACATCTTAAGAGTCAGTGAATGAGTGGTAATTGAAAACATCTGTGCTCTCTGAAAACATCCTCTCAGTGTGCTGCAACAGTCAAAAAACCAAATACACATTGCACCTCTGAATACTAGTACTCTCTGGTCCGGCAACATTTGTGGTCTGGCAGGACCACGGATGCTCCTGGACCAGAGAGCCCCAGAGCTGTGTTCCCTCTAAGCTGCACAGCAGCACAGCTTCACAGGTGATTAATCAGCCCCGCCTAGTCAGAGGCTCAGGGCTCCCTGCATGGAGCTGACTGACTGGGCCGGGCTGATTAATTACCAGTGAAGCTGAGCTGCTGCAGCTTAGAAGGAACACTGCCCCAGAGCCTAATGACAGGAGGGCCAGCAGCCCAGCTGGAGCCAGGGAC